TGTCAGTTCCGCAGGAATTCTTTGCTACTACTACGAAATACGTATCAATATAAGGCAACTCTTGCCTTCTGTTCTAAATTGTATAGCGCCAACTGAAGTGTTGTTATGTTTAACAATAAACAGCTAATTTTGCCCCCCCTTCCCCGCGTAAGCGGATCCAAGATGGACTTCACGAGAAAGGAGGGGGGCGGGGGTGGAAGAGTGAAGATGATGCGGGAGGAGGGGGGGGGGATGCAAGAACGGAGATGACAAGGGAGGAGGGGGAAGGGAGTGGAAAAGTTTTCTTCAGTTTTAGCTCTAGACCCGGACTTTCGTAGCACTTAGTTTCTGTGCCACTGGAGGCGTGGGGGAGGGGGGAACAGACACAAGTGCGAAAGACCCATCCCTTGCCCCTTGCATCCGCCTATGCTATGCGCAGCTTTCGCTTGGTATCTGCATGTAGCTAATTACTGCTTTTTTGGGGCCTGGTGTTGGTATGCGGCTGTGTGCCATGTGGACACATACCGTAAGATATGGCGTGAAAAAGGAACCATCAAGGGAAGTATGAAGCGTAGAAAGTGTACTCCGTTCCGGGGGCTCTTTTTTGTCGGATCGTACAACTATTGCTCATGCGCATTTTCCTTAATCTCATATGTGGGGCAATTCGTAATTTCAAATTTATCCATCACAAAAACTGTTTTACGCAAAACTCTTCTTACAAAAAAACAAAGAATAATGGTAAATGAATACATAGATGGCAGTACCTCGTCGATGACTTCAAGCAAGTGATTTTTCCTGTGAATTTTTATGGTGCCACGGCGATGATGTGATGAAGTTCGTTTGCGCTTCCGACTTTGAGCTTGAGCTTTATGCGCCGAGCGACTTAATGAATTTGACTTCCTCGATTTTTTCGATTTTACTGAAAATAAAAGTATTCGAAATTTTCGACATAAGCAGTTCGGTATCAAACTAGTACTTTAAATTACTGCCAATAAGTGATGAAAAACGTACATTTTTTGGATGAATAGTCTTCGGAGGCTTTCGAAGAGTCGTTTTTTAAGGTCAACGACCTCTGAGGAACTTTTCCTGAAAAACTCAACTTGAAAAGAAAACAAGTCTGAAAATTCGAAACAAGCTATACACTGGTTATGCAGCAATAATGATAGATACTGCCACAGAGGAAATCAAAATAATGTATGGTACTTATGCAAAACTACGTGAAAATGGAGTAAATCTAAATGAAACGGAAGAATCCGTCCGAACGCTTGTGCTGGGCTTAAACAGATGGCGCTTACATGGAAACTAGCAGAATGGAAAATTGTTAACTGCATTAGACGCATGAAAAGGGACAATAACAACTTGATCAGTGACAATCTCATGAATATTTTTTTTTAATTCATAGTCCTAAAGCACTTCCAGAAAACACATATTTTCTTTTTCCCTTTCCCCCCTCGTAGACGAATCCGGGGCGATTTCGTAGAGGGAGGGAAGGGAGGGGGG